AAAATTCTTTTCTCGAAAAAAGTCAGTTGAAAATAGAAAAATGCTTGTGTAATAAGTTGCTTCTGGGAAATTATTATTAATAAATTCATTATATATATATATATATATATATATACATACATGTAGAGTGCGGGAAAATTGTAAAACCCCAAAGCGATTAGTTTAGCGATTAGTTTTATCTCATCGCTCTATGTTTCTCTTGCATATTTTACGCATCAAGTTTTAGTCTTTTTTCTCCAAGTAACTGTGGTAGATTGTTTCTTCATCGCTTAATTAATTGTAAGATTAATTGTAACGTGTAAGTAGATATTCTCGCAATCAATTGGAGAAAAGAATTAAGGGATCTCTTTTTATAAGGAGAGGGTGTGGAACTCAAGGCATACGTGACCTGTGACGTGGCCTATATGATCATCCCAAGATCCGAATTGCGTCATTTCGCTTCCGGAAAGAAACTATGGTAGACTACGCAGTTTGTCAAGCGAAATCGCTACCTCCTTCCTCTATTTTATATATTTCAATTCACCAATACGTGTTCAAGATAGATCAACAATATCTTACGAAGCATTATACGTACGCGTCCATCATCGCATACGAGACGCATCTACTGCATATAAAGATAAAGAAGGATATGAAGTGTTTCATATCCTGATATGGCTCTGTACGCAATGTCACGCAGTAATATATAGATATGATACCTACTATATTTCATTCGGTTCATTTCGATAAGAATGAAAGTTTTCGATTACGTATGCTGTAACGTGTGAGAATTGGACTGTTTCCCAAAATTAACTGCTAATATTGAAAATTGTAGTGCACATAACACACACTAATTATAGATTTCAGTGCTGATATCAGTAAATTTGGAACACACAGTCTAGATATTAGTTAAAGAATTAATTGTTAACTCTCTATATTGTTCCGACTTGATATATGTCATTAAAAATAAATTCTTGTACACTTGTGAAATCTTGAGCAACAATGGTTTTTATTCAGCGATAGAAGCCGTTTAGAAGAAGGAGAGCAAACTCGCAATAAGGATTTGTGTATAAATACATATGACGCAAAACGTATGTTCGCCAAATCGTTTGGAATTAATTATATATATAGTATTGATCGTTAAAATTACATGTGGTATTTGTCCGTGATGATATAAGACTAGATGATGAAGCTATATAGATCTATATAGACGAAACGTTTGCTTCGTTGCATGGTTATATTTCTTAGAAAGTTGTTGGGTAGCCAGGAAAAGACTATTACTGAATCCCAAAAAGAAGGGAGGGTAGATTGAACCTTTTCTTCGACGAAGAAGACCCTTGCTTGTGTCGAGCAGGTATCTCCAGCAGGTATCTTAATGCGTGGAGATGGGTAAGTGAAACGCATTTGCGAATCTAGAATTCAACGAACGTATCTTACGTATCTTCAATGTAAACAATTTTTTATTGGAATTGTAACTGAATGTAACAATTGCGTAATACGTAACGCGTCTATAATTCTATACTCTATAATGTACGAATAATAATAATATATGAGTACATTTACAAAGGTACTATTATATGTATGTATATGGGATTCGAGGG